CCCCAAAACCCCAAAACCCCAAAACCCCAAAACCCCAAAACCCCGTGAGATTGAATTCTAGATTGTTAAGAAATAAAGAATTTATTGTTAGCATAATATTCTAATTAGCGATATCTTAATTTACAGTCAGATAGATCCTTTTATATTATTCACTCAACTATCTGAATTTCTTATTGAGCTAGAGTAGTGTTCACCATATCTTAAGTGAATTCTTATGACTCTTGAGATGATTGTAAAGTTGAAAAAATTGCCAAATCTCGTTTGCATTCAGCCTAACTTTTTGCGCTAAGTCTCAAAAGCTTTTTTTATTCTGGCTTCACAAATTGCTTTTTCAAACCATTGAAATCCTTTTTAAACAGCAATGTTAACATTTTCTGCCTATTTTATGACATCTAAAACAGTTGTTCCTCTTTTTAATCTTCCATAAGCTTTTTAATGTTTATTCTTGTTTTTCTCATTATTTCATTTAATCTATCAATGTCCTCTTGTTTTTACTGTTCCTTTATATATTCATATTCTGAGAGTAGAGATTGCCTTATCTGCTCTCTTAGCCTTGAACTTAGTTAGCTTTATTTATCCTTATCCTCCCAATTTTCGAGCATATTCATGCTATCCTGGCTTTGATCTCTTAATAATATCTGGTTTTATTCAGTACTCTTGTTATCTATCATATTAATATAATCATTTGTCATATCACCAGGAATACTTCTTGATTCACTCAGTCTACTCTAGCATATTTTTTTGATAGTATAACTGCTTTCCTTGTCTTTCTTTAGTTTCTTAAGCTACATCATACTATGAATATTTTTTAGCAATGGGGGTTTGGTATGCAAGGGATTCAAAACTGTCATATTAAAATTTCCCCTTTCAATTGGTTTTTAAGTTTTTTGCTTGACAATTTAAGTTTTAGCCTCAGTAGCATTCAAGTGATTATCATGATTATCAAGAGGGATTTATAGCTTATTATCCTCGACTGAGGCTGGTCTAAGTTTGATATAGTTAAGATGGGTTCTTCGATTCCTTAAGAACTCTTTTTATTGTATTGAAGAGTTATGCAATTCTCTCCCTTCTCTAATATTATCATATTATTGCTATGTATAATATTCAGCCTTCTTAAGAACCTCTAGTGAAGTCGTGGATCCTCCCAAATTTACAATTTATATTTGATCAAGTTTCTCCTTGAATCTTTTAATAAGCTCTTTACTTGTATTCTTAACTTTTGTTCTCAATCTAAGATTATAAAAATTAGGCACTTTGGTTAGATGTATTTTAATCAGTCCCAATTTGTTACTTCTATCCTTCATAGAATGATCTGAATCACCCTAATTGTCTGTTTAAATCAGTGAGTTACCGAAAGAAAGTAGTCTTTATTGACTACTTCTCTTTCTACGTTTTAAATCTGATTATGATTTAAATTGTGAAAAATCAACGCTAGGGTGATGATCGCCTTAATTCATTTCAGGACTGAGGTAATTGGTTGGCCTAGTCTTAATGACCCTACTTCAGTTATTCTCTTACCCATTCTTTTAACTAGAATTTATAGTAACATTGCTTATTCTCTTCTGATTATTCTGCTCTGGTAAAATAACAGGCGGTAGAACAAATGATCGTTCTTTGTAGACGACTTTATTTGCATTTATTTTTCTTGCAGCATTTTTCTGTCTTTGTTTTCACTCAAAGTCTTGAAAATCGAGATTTTCTACATTTTTTATTTATAACAGGCACTGCTTTATATTATTTTCGATTTTGGCTATATTTGATAAACTATTGGAATTTTAAGGGAACAACAATTTTCTATTCTGAGGAGAAATGCTTGAAAAGTGATTTCTAACTGGAGATGTTCGAATTCTGCTAAGTCGAGCTGGGGAAATCTCAAGTTTGGCTGGAACGCTGTTAATATTCAATTAACTATGTTCTTAATTCATGATCATTAGTAAGTCAGCTGTAAATATTTTAATAATTTTCTTTTTTATTATTAAGCTTTTTGCCACATCATATTTCCAGACACTTTTGTCCTTTAGGGGTTTTGGGGTTTTGGGG